GGTGCCACATGGCTTTAGAGTCATTTTTTTCCTTGCCAACTTTTTTCAAAGTCTGTGAGGCTTCTTTGTGGCCTGTCACCTCTGCTAGGCTCCTGTGGGCGCGTCAGGACCTTCCCCTGGCTGTGGTGCCAGGTGGGTGTGTCTCGGGTATCACCCAGGAGCACACCTGGGACGCGCTGTCTCGCGTCCTTGGTCTCAGTGGCTGGGTAAGAGCTGAGAGGAGGGAGCAGGCACTGTGCTGCTGCCTGCAGTCCTAGGGCTCAGGAGGCTGAGGCAGGAGGGTGGCAAGCTCCAGGCCAGTCTCAGCCACTGAGCCAGACTTAGGATGCAGGGGTGGGGTACTGCTTGGTGGTAGAGTACTGGCTTCAATCCCAGGACAAACAGCACCAAGACAGAGGAGAGGGAGGAAGTGTCCGTGCACATGTTCTGAACTCTGTGTCAGCCTCTTCTGTTTTGTCAAAAGGTCGCCAAACTCCCTCAGGTGGTGCAGCAGCAGGCACCCGTGGCCAGCATCCAGCAGGTCGCCTCCGCCGCTCAGCAGGTAGGACTGCAGACGCAGGCCGCCTGACCCTGGCGTCTGAGGTGCTGGGATCTGTGGCTTCTCCCTGAGGAAGAAGAGTGCTGATGACTAGGGGCTGACTGCCCAGCATAGTGCTCTGGCCTGCTTCTCGCAGGGCGTCCTGCACAGCATGGGCTGCACTGTGCTCAGGACAGGGCTCTGCAGCATCCTAGGCTCCCTGGTCCCACAAGAGGAGTCTGCATCCCACAATGTCTGGGGGAAGTCCTGGTGTCCCCTGGCTGACATGGACCTGGGGCTGTCCTGCTGCTCTCTTTCAAGGGGGCCAGCATGCCCAGTTTAAAGCAGTATTTACATTTCAGGGTGGTTCAAGCTGCAGGCAGCCAGGCCCCGCTCTTGCCTTTCCTCCCTGAGACTGGGGAGGCCCTGTTTCCACCTGCTCCTGCTCTGCCAGAGAGCACAGGGGCCTGCCCTGGGCTTGGCTGTCCTGCTGGGTGACGTGTGCACTCTGCTGACAGTGCTTTCTGGCTCTCGGCACAGGCCTCTCCACAGACTGTGACGCTCACGCAGGCCACGGCGGCAGGGCAGCAAGTGCAGATGATCCCCGCAGTGACTGCCACGGCCCAGGTGGTACAGCAGAAGCTCATGCAGCAGCAGGTGGTGACTACGGCCTCGGCGCCACTCCAGACCCCAGGAGGCCCGAGCCCAGCACAGGTGCCAGCCAGCTCAGACAGCCCAAGCCAGCAGCCCAAGCTACAGATGAGGGTCCCAGCCGTGAGGCTGAAGACGCCCACCAAGCCCCCCTGCCAGTAGGCCACCAGCAGGGTCACCTGCAGGGCATGTGCTCGAGCAGTCATGTTCAGGGAGCGTCTTCACAAGCACCCCTCCTGCCACGCAGCTGGCTGAAGAGCCGTGGCGGCGATGATTCCTGGTGTCTCGCCTCTCATGTCCTCCAGAGCAATAGTACTTGTTTTGAAAGCCACTCAGCCTGGTTGTTGGTGTCTGGTACTTTGCACGTCCAAGGAGTTGGGGGCCCGTGTGATGTCAGCGGCTGGCGCCTGTCTTGGCACTGCCACTGCGGCCTGGCTCACCCACTCAGCTGGAACGCGCCTGTGGTCCGTGGGAGGGAAGAAGGGCTCTGGAGTCCATTCTCCAGGTGGGCTTTGCACTCCAATCTCCCCTGGTGAGTGTGAGTGGGATGACTCTGAGGGGGCAGGTCTGGCCCTGTTGCCCATCTCCATGCGTAGAACATGAGGGGGCAGCCACCATGACCTAACTTCCGCTCAGAGTGGCAGTGTGGCCTCCCCAGCCTGTCCCCATGCTGCTGGCTCCCATTTGAAGGGGCTCTGACTGTTCCCTGCTGTGGACAGAGCTCACGTCTGGACTTGGTGCGCCTGACAGCTCGGGCAGCTGTGCGACGCGAGCTGGCCTGGTCTGGTCTGAGGCATCCTTTCCTGTGAGAGCCCTTCCGTGCCTCCGGGTTCCTCATCGTCTTGAGGTCCATCTGCCAGCAGACCTGCTGTAGCTCCGCCAGGCTTTGAAGGGGCTCTGCACTGAGGGGGGCATTCCGTGGGGCAGGTGCCCCTCAGGGCCTGAGGGGCTGGTGAGGGCTCCACTCCTGGTGCTGCCGCAGCAGGAGCACAAGCCCACAGCGCCCTCTATGCCTTTGGATCTGCCTGTGTCACGACGTCTGGCCCTGCAGTGGCCTTTGCCACCAGTGTGGCGCATGCAGAGCTCCCTTGTGCAGTTGCATCTGGACCCCCCACCACTGTGTGTGTCCAGTGCCCACCTGGGGGCCGAATGGTGAGCACTGATGAGGAGCCTGGAAGGGAGTCAGCACCACGCACTAGAGAAGCTGGGCTTGAGTGTCCAGCTCACCAGACGCTTCGGACCCAGCGCTGGGGCCCGCGTGCTCATCAGCAGGCCTGGCATCAGCCAGGTGTGTCTGGCCAGCAGTGCGCCCTCGCAGGCACTTCGCTCCCTGGCTCCTCACTCCTGACCCTGCAGGACTGCGAAGGTCTGGATGCACTGGTCTTCCTTGTCCTTTCTCCTGTGCTGTGGCCTCTCTTCAGACCTGACTGCCCAGCATAGTGCTCCGTCCATCTGCGGCCCCGGGGAGAGCATGAGCCCCCTCAGAGCTGCTGAGAGAGTGGGCCTGGGATCTGGGGTGCAGTGTGAACCCTGCTGCTGCTCAGTGTCAGCCTCTTGTCTCTGGCGGGCCTACACAGTGAGCCTGGCCACAACATGTGGTCAGAGGTGACTTTCTTGCCACCCCATCAATGGCATCGGCTGCCCCACCAGCTGTAGGCCTAGTGCTTGGGGGGACGCCATGCCTCCTGTGCTTGGCTGCAGCCCTCCCTCTGTTGGAGGGGGGGGCGGCCTTCCCCTTGCCAGTCGTGATTCGGAGTTCAGAAGGCAGAGCGTGCAGCTCACAGCCCAGACTGCCATTCCACCTGGCCCCTGGAGGATGGACCTAATCAAGAGTCGCTGGGTCACTCTGATGAGGTTGGGCTTCCCTGGCTGCTGGCCCTACAGGCATGTGTGCTGATTGGCAGCAGGTAGAACAAGACAAACTGTAAATACTTTGTTAACACAAGCATTTGTACTTGAAGAGTAGGACCTTAGAGGGCATGGATGTCCTGCCAGACAGACGGCATAATAAAGTGACCTTTTTATATGTTTCTGTCTTGGTTTTCATAGAAGAGCAGTGTTTAAATTAAAGTCAGATGTTGGCTGTGTTTTTCACAGCACAAAGTGGCTGCTGTGGGTACCAGTGTGTGCCAGTTCCTCCTGAGACGTGGTGCCTGGCAGTGGGCACTTGGCCCTCTTGCGCTCGGGGCCTTGCTGATGGTCCCTCTAGCCAGCACCCCATGGCTGCTGTCCCTCCTCTTGCTCTTGAACTTTTTTCCTTTTCTTAGAGACAAAAGCTTTCAAGTTTTAATAAAAAGCAGGCAGGAAGCCGAGGGGCAGTCCTGGTGCCCTTCCTTCAGCACAGGAACAGGCGCCCTGCCTTGCAGACCCCTGCTCCAGGGCGCACCCTCCCAGGCAGGAAGAGGCACAGGCTCTGTGCACCAGGAGCTGTGGGCCAGCGACAGCCCAGCGGTCCTGCACCCAGCTATCAGGCTGGCCTTCCAAGGTAATGGCCCTGTCCCCTACCTGAGCACCTGTGTAGCTCCATGCCTCACCAGCCATGTGCCATGGGCCTCCAACTCCTCCCCAGACCCCTCTGCCCTCTAGACAGTCGAGTCCCTTGTCATAGTTGTCAACGGAAAAGAGCTCTGTGGAGGGTGCCAGTCCCTGGTCAGCTTCTGTTCACGTGGCCTGGAGCTAAGCTGCGCACCGGGTGGGGCTCCGGCCACAGGCTCGGGAGGGCAGCACCTCAGCCCTGCAGCCAGCATGCTGGCAGCTTCTGCTCAGATGTCACCGGATTGTAAGCCTCTCTCTGGGCTGTGCCCCAGGCCTATACTGAGAGGGTGGCTCTCCAGCCTCCACCAGGAGCCCCTCCCTCCCCTGTTTTGGCTGCCCCTGATGCCCTGGTATGAGGGTGGCCAGGGAAGCTTTTCTCAGCACAGATCTGAGAAGGTGCCCCCTGCCAAGGACTGGGCTGCTGCCATGGAGAATCCTGCAGACAGACTGGTTTGTCACCTGCCTGCTGCCCCACCTCTATACCTCCTGCCCTCCACCCCATGGCCTTCTATCTCAACTGCTTTTAGAAGCCCCCTCACCACACCCATCAGACCCCCAGCTTCCTCAGCCTACGCTGCTTGCAAGTGCTATTGGCCTGGCCTGCAGGTGAGGTGGGTCTGTCTCCCTGGGCAGCAGGGCTCCCTGGAAAGGACCCCCACCTTTTTTTACCCCCAGGACTGAGGGTTGAACCCAGGGGTGCTCTACCACTGAGCTACACCCCAGCCCTTTGATATTTTAAGACAATCTCAGTAAGTTCCCCAGACAGGCCTTGAACTTGTCAGCCTCCTGAGCAGCTGGGCTTACAGGTGTGGCCACCACAACACCAGCTGTCCATTTGCATTTTAATCACCTACTAGAAGTAGAAAGCCAATGTCTGGCCTCAAGGAACTCGGTCCTGGTGGTCAGCACGAGGAAGTGAAGGGCAGGTACTGGCCAAGGAAGGTGTGGCATGGACGTGCTATGTTGGGGGAGTCAGGCAGCAGGGATTTTCTGGATGACTGGGGAAGAGGAGTGTTGAAAGCACAGAAACAGCATGTGCATGCAGGTGGTAGGACAAGTATAGCCCACCTGGGAGGCAGGGCCCGATCAGAGGATGGCAGGAGTCCTTCCCAAGCCCAGGGCCCTGGGTGGCCTGCCTCCTGTGCAGACTGCTTTTCTGGTGTGCCCCGCCAGGCAGAGGGTCAGGAGCTCCCAGGGGGGAACACCATCTTGGCGGCACTGGAGCCCTGGGTAGGGTACTCCAGGCCCTGCACTGTCACTCATACCACATCGTGTTTTCTTAAAATGAATCAATTAGTGGCTGTTTTTTAAAAATTTACTATCATGAAGTTTCTAAAAGGCTTCTCATAAACAGAGGTGCTTCTGAATCTCCTATCCCACTCACAGGACCCCACTGCTTTGGGTCTGCCCTGGGCCGGGTGGTGGCCAAGCATCAATCAGCATGAGGCTCAGGTTTCCTGGCCGGGCTGCCTCCCATCTGGTCACACAGCAGGGCTGCCCAGGAGGTGGGACGCTGATGTCAGAAGCATGACATCTGGCTTTGTCTGAGGGGACCCCAGCCCTCAGGCAAGCACACCACATGTTCCAGCAGCACCACATGGCTCGAGACCAGCTTGCCCCAGGACGTGGTATACAGCCTTGGGCAGGGGTCCCAACCTGGCAGACCCACTGAGCTCCAGGCTGCCCAGCACAGGAGCCATGGGGGAGAGGGCTGTGTCACCACTGCTGCTTCAGGAACCCGGGGTGCAGAGATGCACCCAGCAGCCTAGGCCACCTTCTGTTTCTGCTCCTCCTGTGGGAGAGAGAAGGGGGCTTGAAGTGAGCACTCCCAGCCCCCTGGACCCTCAGAGAACGGGAGCTTGCTCAACAAGCATCACTGCTGGCCTTGGGCCAGGAGCTCAAGGGCCAGGTGTCAGGCCCCTGCTTCTGGCTCTTGTCCACACTACTCTAGAATGAGGCTGACTTGCAGGACCGCTGGCCCAGGCAGACCTCACCTTGATGGTCTTCTCCAGCTGGGACAAGGCTTCCTCGTACTGAGGAACCATCGGCTGCAGCAGCTCACTGGGGATCTCGTGCCTGGATAGCTCAGGTGCCCCAGCTTCGGCCAGCATCCGGAGGAACCGCCTCTCCTACAGGGAAGGGGCCTCGTGTGGGAGGGTCTCAACCCACCCCAGAACCCTCTGGGTCAATAGCCTCCCTAGTGTCCCACAGAGACGCACCACCTCACCTGCACCTTGAGGAGCAGCGTGAAGGCCTGTCCAGTTCTCCCAGCTCGAGCCGTCCTCCCCACCCTAAAATCACACAGATGTACAACAGGAACAGTGACTTCTCCCTGATCACCCCCCACCCGTCCCACACCCAGGAGCTCACAAGCCTGGAAGCCCAAGTGGCCACTGCTGCCAGCCCTCACCGGTGCACGTAGGTCCTCAGGTACTGGGGGGCATCGTAGTTGATCACCAGCTCCACACCCTGCACATCGATGCCACGGGCAGTGGCATCAGTGCTGATGAGGCTGAAAGCACATAGCCCTATGGTCCTGCCCAGCAGCAATAGGGACCCCCAGCCTGAAACCCAGCTGAGCCAGAAGCAGGGATGCCTACAGCCATGACCTCCGCACTAAAGGGAAATCCCAGGCCTTTTCGGAAATGTACCCCAGACTCAGGAGCACAGTTTCCAGGAAGAAGCACCCTTCAGTAGGCCCAGGGTGACAGCTGGGGCAAGCACCCCAACTCCATAGGCAGCCCCCTCCCTGTACTCACAGCTGGATCTTGCCCTGTTCGAAGTGCTTCAAGATTTTCCTCCTCTGGCCAGGCCCATAGCGGGAGGAAAACTCGGCCACATTCACACCCCCAAAAGCTTGCGCCAGTAGGAAGAGCCTATGCAGAGAGGAAGCTGCAGGCCGGGGCCGGGGCCGGAGCCGGGGCCCAGCTCACCAGCCGCACACGCCCACCCTGCTCACCTGTGGGAGTGCTCTCGGGAGTTGGTGAAGCACAGGGCCCTGGAGACACTCGTCCTGAGGACCAAGTGCAGGACGGCCAGTGGCTTGGAGCTGAGGCTGCAGGGCACGTAGTGGTGCTGCGGAAGACAGCAGGTAGACAGAAGCCCTGGGCCTGGTACTACCCACCCCTCTTACTCCCTCACTTACCGTGAGCCCCACAGGAAAGGTGTATTTCCCCCCCGAGTCCCCTTCTGTCTCCACATCCCTGTCTTGGGAGCCCCTGTGCGTCAGCCCCGTGGAGAAGAGCCGGGGCTGGTAGAGGCCGAGCCGCTGCAACTTCTCAGGGTTCTGGGTCAAGGTAGCTGAGAATAGCAGCTTCTGCAAAGGCATCTGGGGATGGCAGGTGCTGGAAAGAAGAGGGTGTCAGTAGGACAGGTTCCTCACAGGTCCCAGTGCACAGAGAACACCATCGGGGAGTATGTGGCCTTCCCTCAGCATGCAAGTGTGGAGGAAAGGGGTCAGCCCCAGCACAACAGGATACCTGGCGGCGGTCACTGCTTGGGGCTGCCTTCTCTGGAGTAGGGCACAGGGGTCTGCAGGGCCCTCACTATGGAAGGCTGCGGCTACCACCCGTGGCAGCCAAGACTGGTGCATGCTGTCTATCATGCGGTCAGCCTCGTCAACTACCTGCAGGCAAAACCACGTTGGCTGTCAGAAATTCCTTGCCAGGTCTATCCTCAGCAAGGAGTCCAGGCCTCCCAGCAGGCAGCCTACCAAAAAACGGAGCTGCTGAAGGCTAAATCCTGGGGTCTGGTCAATGTGGTCCACCAGGCGGCCAGGTGTGGCCACCACGATGTCGGCCAGGCAGCGGTAGCCGTCTGTTCTACAAACAAGAGTGGCTCACAAGGGAAGCACCAAGCAGGGCCTTCTGATGGCAAGCACAGACCACCTCGTGCACATAGCATTGACCCCCACCCAACATGGGTGGGCAGAGCAGAGACCCCCAGAGAGCCCACTACCCACAGAACCTACGTCTTTTGGACAAGGCTCTCCTGTTCTTTAGCCAAAGACTTCTGTCCAGTAACCAGGGCAACCCGCAGAGGTGTGGCGTCTGTGTAGACGTTGAACACTTTGCTCACCTACAGGAGAGGTCTGCCATTGGCCTGGGGACAAGCTGGCCCTCCAGGACAGTGCCAAGGACTCTGGCTGAGCACCACACACACACACACAGCAGGTCAGCTCAGGCTGGGGTCAGAGGCTTACAGGTATGGGAGTCTATGTACCTGCTGGGCCAGCTCCTTGGTGGGCAACACCACCAGTGCACGCACTTGGCAGACCACTCGGTGCATCAGGGCCTGCAGGGAGGATGGGCTGCCTGTCAGCAGAGCTGGCTCCCTGCCATCCACCCCTGACCAGAAAACGAAGCAAAGTGACACCCACCTGCACCACAGGAATGACAAAAGCCAATGTCTTCCCACTGCCCGTTGGGGCAGAAACACAGAGGTCACTGGGTTGGTAGCCACCTCTGCTCACCAGGAACCCACTGGCCACACTCTCCAGGAGGGCAGGAATCACAGCTGCCTGGACTGGACAGGGAGTGCATCAAGTTGACTCTCCCAGAGCACCTCTGCTCAAAGACAGCAACAGGCCAGGAGGAACCACAAGCCCCATGCCCACGCACCACCAGAGGGGCTCTCACAGGTGGGGTGCTGTGAGGGGTGCCCCAGCCCCGTCTGCTGGCCCAGGGAAGGGCACCTGGAAAGTAAGCTGAGATGCCATGTGCACGCAGCTGCTTCTGCAGGTCAGGATGCACCTCGGGGATGTTCTCGATGGGAACAAGATCCTCAGTGACATTCTTCCTGACAAAGCTTGGCTTAGCCAGCCATGCTGGCAGGAAAGGCTGGACCTACCCCAAATGCAATAAAGACCACAATTTACCAGAGCCCTCTGGACCCACAAGATAGAAACCTTTTGACCAGTCTCAGCTCTTCCCCAGCCGCCACCAGCCACTGGCCCGGCTGCCTTCAAACACGAAAGTGGGTTCCAGCAGACCCGCCTCTGGCCACAACCATCTGACTCCATCCGCGGCTGCGCCCAGGGCCTCCCAACCAGAACTCGCGTCCTTCCCGCCTAAGGGCCAGCGCGGGCCTCTGCCCAGCGCACACCCCAGCAGCTCTGCACGTCCCCACCGGACTTCTCACCACCGCTCCCGGCTCCGGCAGGGGCACGGGGCGCGCGGAACCGCCGCCGGCCCCCTCGGCTGCTCACCTTTGGCGTCTTCCTCCTCGCGAAGCCCCCCAGCACCGGGCCGGGGGCCGGGCACCCAGCCTCCTGCTCCGGAGACTCGGCGTGCGCACTGCGCTGTTCTGGCGCCGCCTCGCTGGTCCCTGCGCCGCACACTTGCCAG